TGCAAACTTGCATTCAGATTTAAAGCTACAAAATTAACAATCATCCTTAACGAACGATTAAAATTCCTATCTCTAACGTTCTAGTACGGAATAGGGATGAAAGCAATGCTCTTAACTCTTTATCGCGACCCATCAATTCTGCATGAGTCCTCGGTATCGAGCGATTATATCCCGGGAAAACAAAAACTTTTTCTCCGGCCATAGCCATTTCTCTTTTCCGAGCAGTAAAGGCGCGATCTTTATTTTATCACCTTCGAGGGCGACGCCTGAAGGGAACGTCATTTTTAGAGCAGTCGACGACGAACAAAAGAGGTCGATGGAAAATGGCAAAGAGATCAAATGGTGGGTGATAACAAGCGCCAAGCTGATTCGATGTACCGAGTGTACAGGGGAAGACAGTATCCCAGGCCGATCCCTCGGGACGCATATCCTCGTCCGTCGGTCTTGGTATTTTCCTGCTGCGCTGCGAACTTTTCTCGAATCCTTCAACACTGATAGATAACCCGGTCGAAAGGGCGGACTTGGATAGAACGACTGACGAAGACTTTTTGCCGCGAGACCGGATTTTGCGGAGGGAGTTTATGTAGTGGGGAAAGAAATAATTTTTACTTGATGTTGAAAAATGTACTGCAAGATATACCTCCCACAAGATATATTATCCATTATATTTCTTCTCGCAAGATCGAGCGGAAAAATATCCCATTTGGACGAATTCTCCGATTATTATTGAGATTATTATATAAGTATACATATAGTTTGTCTCTCAAAAATAGTTGACATATTGCACAGCAAAAAAAAACATCTCTTTTAAGATGTTTTTAATTTGTCCTGCTCCAATTATCACAAGATTAAATACAGAAATATTCCATTTAGACGTAAATTATAAGAATCCGTAAATAAACAGATATTGCACAGCGAAAAAAGTATACGTCTTCTTTAAAATGCTTTCAATTTACTCTTGCCTCTATTCTATTATTAATTTTTTTTTACATTACTCATCGATTTTTATTAATAATGCAAATTATTGAACTGCAAAATATATTTTTATAACGTTAAAAGAAAATTCATTAAACTCTCCATACACTAAAATTGACAATTTGACCGTCCGGAAATTGAATTTCGGTATGCTTTGGATAATTAGCTTCAAGTATTGATTGGGCGTAAACATAGTTTGATTATAACAGCGATCGATTCGATTTATATATAAGCCGAATAACTTAATTGCTCACAAATCGTTCCAATTGCTTGTACTTATCAACTCATGAATTAAGAATTGTATTAATTTTAGCCAAACGAAGAAAGCCAGAAAGGACAGAAAGTAGAGCAAAATCGATCTTGTGGGTTAATTAGCCAAAATTAATTTTATAATATAGCAATTGAGTTTTAAGTCATATTATAATTGTTGCCGTTATCATTCAGCAAATACATTTGCTTTAACAAAAAAAAAATTTAAATTTACAAAGCAATTTAGCAGAGAATAAAAATTTCCTCTGTTTCCGTATATATTAATTAATGTTACATATTAAATTGAAAATCCGAAGATTGCGATAATGGAAGCGATAGCAGCAAGCTCGCGTAACAAAAATAGCTTTACAATAATGTTTCCTCTCCCGTTCCCATTAATGCGCATCAATTTTCCAAATATCGAATCGGTATCGTTATATCAACGTTATACATCGCATAAAGCTATCGTTAGCGCTCGTAGAATTTATGGATTTATGAAACGCGTTTAATGCCCCATTATTTTGCGATTTAATTCCCTTCTGTGCGGGTATTAAATATTTCCAGTGCAACCTGCCGTCATTAAACAGCAAATATGTATAGTCGTATGAACATGTTCAGCTCCCGATCTTTCCTTTGGAATTATTGTTGATCACTCTACCAGGGAATCTATTCCGATCAGCGATAATATCCAGCTGTATTTGCTCGTCCGGGAGGGTAGTGCTCGCCCATGTTGTTAATCCCCCTTGTAAACCTCTGTCAACAAGAACCATCGAGAGACGGCTGCTAATGAAGAGAACCCATCTAATTAAGTTAATTAATACCGACAGAAGAGCTCTATAGGAAACTTTCGATAAAGGGACAAAAACGGTCGGAGGGGAGGTTACAAGCGCGCACACGAGGACGCGTAGGACGATTTGCGAAACAGGATAATTATATCGGTTTCATCGTACCGATGAGCGGGGTAATAGGAGAACATTGTTCGCCGAGGGATGTTTAGTCGAGGATTAATACCGCGAGGCGGTATCGTGGCGTTTATGCGGTCAGATTAATAAAGGTACGCCCATGGCAAATCTACTTTTATTGAAACTAGGATTTTTATTAAGCCCCCCCCCTTGGTCCAAGTACGCATTTTGCTCGCGGCGATGGTGATTCCGCTTCTTTGTGTCCCATCGTTTCATGAACCACGGAAGCGATAATTGTCACGTACGAATGAGAGAGGTATTATCTGGCGAAAGGTATTATCATGTTCTGCTGTATTGTTAACAATAATTTATGTTCCAGGACAAAATCTATTTGCGATTATAATAATAGATCGGAATATATATCGTTGTAGCAGTAGTTCTTAACGTTATATAAAATGGCTAACACATATCATGTTCAAACTGAAAAAATAAAGTCTGCAATATAATCGTAAATTTATATGAAGCATTTGACGTATAAAGCATAATTTGGTATACATATATATTCATGACAACGACTGAGCAGAGATAAATCTATTTTGACATATTTTTGCAGAGCGCGTAAAAACAACGCGCGCAACGGTGCGTAAAAAGAGCTTTAATTGACACGGATGACATTCGTTTAATTAATACATTTTTCCACGCTTCGATAAGCGGGTCGCTTCGATGAGTATCACGCACCGTACATTCCGACATGTTCCCGCCTCTTTCTTTGTTTTCCTATCTATCACTAGTATATGCTGTCGCATACATGATGTCCAAATAATTGCAGGAAATTGTTTGAGAGCGTTATATATTCGCGTAGCGCCGCCGATTTCACACTAATGCAAATTACTAAACGAAATTACTAAAGCTAGTGCGTGAGTCCAAACGAATGCACTTTCATTGGAAGAGAACAGAATGCTTCCCGCATTAATTACCATACCATGAGGCACGTTTCGCCCGTACTTTGCAACATCTGCGGGGCATGCCCAAATATTGTAATCGTGTTCGTTAAATCATGTTATCGCCGATAGATTATCCGAATAATAACATGTATCGATATACCATTGCGTCGCGATCGACTTTGTATTAATTGAACACGTTCGTGAATGCGATTGCGACAGACATTGTTCATGCTATGATTATTACGACGATGTACAACGCGCTACGAAATGTCGCATAAATATTTTAACGATGCAATAATATCTTTATCTGCGTGATTAAACGGTTTAAAAGATTGTAATAAGATAATTTCGTGGTGATTTAACACTGATTTTGACAAATGTCGGGATTGCGTGACTGTGAAAAAAATAAAAAATTGTAGAAAATATTACAAATAATTCTTATAATATATCTCTTTTATTATGTGTTTGGCAAGAATCTTGTACGAGTTATTATAACAAAATATATGTAACTCACATTATGGATAGACAATTTTATTTGTAGAATAATATCTGATAAAGCGATATCTTACTCATAATTTATATTAATTTATTCGTTACACAAATAATCGCCAAAGCTTTCATGTCCGACAGTGAATACTATAATTTAACAATAATATATAGCAGTTAATTATGCGTTTATTTACCATATTCCTACTCCATATGCATTATGGCGATTAACATTATCTACGAACAACTACGCGAGCGCGCATGCAAACCTATCTGATGGATCTACACGGATCTGCATGTATTTGTATACGCAAACTCTGTTTTGAAACATTATTTAATAAAAACAACCATTTATTAACAAATGGCTTGGGGGATGTGGATAAAATTCGTAGTTGTTTATCACGTCCATTAACAAGTTTGAAATCCAAAACTCTCGCACGTTATTTTAATTTAATTGGTACCGAAGTCGGCGTATCTTTTTTCATCGAATTTAATTAAAATTTAGTTTAATGAACAGCAATTAAGTACTATTGCTATTGTATCGCGAAGTCTAACGTGACTCCCCGCAAATTACAGTTATACGATTGTTCGATTAATTACGTTAGGAATATTCAATTAATCGGTTATCGTCATTGGGATCTATGTGTTATTATGCATCGAGCGACGCCGGAGTTTGGCTACGCAATTATAGCAATAATTGATGGGTCTAATCGGGAATTGCATATCCATTAGAGCGTGAAATAATGGTATCGAATAATTGCTTATTTTGTGCGCACATCAGAGAATTGAACTTTCCCGAATTACACGTTTTCCAAATTATCGTATCCAGTATCGTAATCAGCTTTCATCGCGATGTTATATGAAACGATTTTACAATTAGATAAGAAATATTTTATGGCGCTTTTTGAATTATTTGTATGTTTACCATTTATCACCGTTTTGTTATTAGCTTGTTCGCCACTTCGACTACAGAACTCTACGCGTGATTATACGACGATAATAGTTATACTAAATGATGCATTCTGCAGCAACGTTTGCGATTAACGGCCTGATTACGCATTGTACTGCACGCTTTGGCGACGGCTTGTTTGTCGAATTAATTCTCTTCAAATACATATAAGTTAAGCCGCAACCACACACCATCGCTTTATAATGAAGTAAGAAAGCTATATCTAGTCCAGATATTTGTGTAAATTATATTCCAACAATTAAACAGTTAAGTGCAATTTATTACTTATTTCGGTCGTTGTTATTATCTTATTAATATTTGTATAGATATTTAAAAATATACGATCAGCGATAATATAAGATAAATACAAATAACTATAACAATTATGATCACGATATGATTCATAGAATGAAGCGATCCCGGATTACGAGAGGATCGCAAATTCGCAATACAGCTGTACCATAGTGGCCTGTTACACGGCCGAATTGTACTCACCGGCAAGGATTCAGGCGTGTGGTCAAGCACGTATATGCTGTTCGTGTATCCGTACAGCATCGTGTCCAGATCTGAAACCCAAGGAGAGCGAGCAGAACATTAAATTGGATCTAACTGGTTGCGAGCCGTGCGGCACACTAATGCCGGTAATATCCGCGCGTACTCGCACACTCGCGGGCTGCGTCACCGCAGTATTCTAATTTACGCTGGATGCAACGTAGCACAGAGGAGAGCAATTTCCTAACACGGTCGCGGGATGAGAGCACACGCTTTCAAATTCCCGACGTCCTCTCCTTGCCGCCGTAGCCCTTCGTGCGTTTCCTTCGGGGCTTGCCAAGCCGTTCTAACATTATCTTACGACAGCATTACGTTTAACTCAGTTCAATGTTTACGTACATAAAACTTTCTTGGTACTACCTTGCGTTATGCTACATTGTACACCACAATGCACCTGACAAATCCCGTTTTGTGATATAATAGATAAATAGTATTTTATATATTGCCAGATAATAATATAGCAAATAATTAATATAAATTCTATGTGCTTGTCATTTTCTCAATACACACAATTTTATACAGATATGTATGTACATAATTTTATATAGAGAATAATTGCTATATGTATTATATGTATATTTTATACATTTTACATAAGTCAGTTATTACAATTATTAAACACTGACATGATTTTTTCGGATAAAATAATTTGTGATAGAAAAGCTTGTCCGAACACGGTTTACCGAAGCCACAACGTTGACTGTAAATAACGCTGACGCAATAACCGTCGAAGGGCTAACGAGTTTTTCCGCATTGACGCTCGTTGCTTCAGTGGAAAAAATTATTATTGGCAGTGAACACAGAGTGGTGGCAAAAGCATTGCGGTTGTTGCAACATGTATGTCCGCGAAAAATTTAATAACGGGATAGCGGTCGATCGCGGAGAACTAATATTTCCGTACAACATTCGGTGGTCATGTAGATCAAAATACCACATAAGCTCGGCCACAAATTTACATTGTTAATGATTTTCTGTTTCGGACAAATAATATAAGTGATAATGTTAAAAGCGTACGTGTTATACTTAATATTTATGAAAACATTAATAAAAAAAAAACTTCCTGCCACCTAATAATTAAATTAATCATAATTATTAATTATGCAATGTATACAATGTCATTTAACTATTCTTATGCTATGTAGCACATGATTAAATCTGCAATCAATTAATCGTAAGAAAATTTTTTTTTATCTGACTAGTGAAGGCTTTTTCTCTTTCCGCGACTCCACACTACTACTCAGACAAATTTTTCGAAAGGATCGTCGTAAAATTCCGTAAGCAATATTCTAAAAAGATTGCTGAGTGCTCAGACAGTTGTATTCATAGCGCAGGCACATATCCTATCGACGATTTATGGATCGGAAGCTTGACGCTGGCGGATATAGCGGAGCAATTTTTCAGAAATTATTGCGCGATATTCTCTGAACGAACGAGAAGCACTTAGGCATCTTGATAACGATTCATTGCGATATAAAAGTTCTCAGCCTTCAACCTCGTCTATTATATTGCGTTCGCGTATCGTCCAAACGGATATATGGGATATATGGGGAATCGGTCGGATTCAACGACGGCCGATTTCCGATGAAACGCTACGACTCGCTGCTTCCGTGCCTTTTTCCCGAAGGATATGCGGCACGTCACGTTACTTGAACGATTCGATGGGAATTTCAATTTGCGAGGATGGCATTGCGTTGCTAAAAGGCGTTCGTACCAAACGCGCAGGGTCACTTTGAGGCCATTGGACGCTCGAGGCTAACAGAATTTGTTACGGCACTTTACGCCGCTTAAAAAGAGAACGTATACGTATAAATTTGAGCTTTAATTTAACAGCATTTGCTTAAGAGAAAAAAAAAGATTTTAGATAAATGTTATATTGTGCAAAGATAGATTTATTATTGCGAGAAGCAGTACGCTAGAACAGTTAGGAATTTTTCTTTTAATTTACATTAGACAAATATCAGAATCCAAGAAAAATTATGTTTCTAATTTGTGACGTAACATGTAACGTGGAAAATGTTGAAGGAATAAAAAATATATGTGTGCGCGAATAGACGAAAGAATTAGAGTTCGAAGGATATTCGATATCTATACAGAATTTTTTACACGAAAAAAGTCTATAATTAAAATTAAGAATATTTACAAGTTATTTACAGAGAGTTTTATTTCGCGAATGAAGGAACTGGGGCGCGACGCGAGCGAATAAAAGGCGCGCGCAAAATGTAACTTTCGCGAACTAAAGAATTGACGCGAGCGAATGCGCGCGGAAAAGGCAGCTCTACAAGCTCGATTATTATTTCGCAAGCAGCGAAATACAGGTTCGAAGGCAGGGGTTAGAAGCCGATCGACAGAATATGCCGAGCACGGAATCGCGTACACTCTCTAATACGGAATCGTAATATAGGAAATCGCTCGCTATTAATTCGGTGTATTGCTATCGAGTGCGAATCCGCGCGCGGAAGTCAGGGTCTTTATTAACGCGAACTCCGGACCCGCGGCAGCGGGCTGAAAAATCTGTGAAGCTAATCGGATGCCGACATCCCAAGAAAGCAGTTGATTTGTAAAATGTCAAACGACTCAGCTGATCTTGAGATTGGCAACCGATCAGCTGTTTTCGCCGAATCTCTCGCTTTGTCCCGGGTGTTTACCTCGCGCACTAGGGCACTAGGGCACTAGGCTCCGAGACAAAAGGAGAGAGTCGGCACAAGCAAAAACGAAACAGTTTTTCTGTCTCTCGCAAGTTCTAAGAAACGACCTGCTTATTTCTGGAATAAGTTTAGAATTTATATATAAGCTTTTATATGTATAGAGTTACATTTAGCTTTTAAATTAAAGTCGTTTCCCGGAATGATTTAGGAACAATTTTACTCGTTTTATAGATTTAATGCGTTCAATCCCGAACAATATGACACATAAAATATATTAAAATTCATACGTGTATCAAAATAAACGATACAGAAAATTAATAAATTGTAGGATAGTCTGTTCCGCGTACTGAAAAATTAACGGTATATAGACTTAAAGCACCTTTATCTGTTCATATTTCAGGCAAGTATTAGTATTTTTTTTCCCTCCTTTTAATCAAAGCCAGCAAACTACATTAAGTTTCATTTTTGAACCATAAACAAGAAAATAATTATTAAGGTAAGTTAATATAGCCAGAAAAAATCATGTTTCTGCTCGGGTTTCCAAGATGTAAGGGTAGAAACCATTTAAAAGATATGGATAGATCATGCACCCTTTAAAAGTTAAGTAGTGAATAAGGTTAAGAGTCATGAAGCATAATTGTGATTTAACGCTAGGAATTATTTCAAATTTCAATTTCATGAGGATGTTTAATCGCGCGAATGCAAATCGTAATAACGTTATGCCGTGTGTGTTCGACGATAGATCGACGATAGAGAATTGGCGCAAAACGATCGGTGAGAGATAGATTTATTGTTTCATTTAGACTCAGCTCGCCGGAGAGCTCCGAGCAAAATTGCTTGACTGTGAAAATCGATCCCTCGTTGCGCAAAGTACCGCTGTGAAAGATTTTATTTTCGTGATAACGCTGTTTGGGTGAACCAATATTGTCACGATCAACATTGATCGTATATATAGGCATTCACATATACAGAACAATGCAAAGATCATTACATATTATCAGAGAAGAAAAGACAAGAACAAATATTCAGTTTAGGAAGAAAAAAAAAAAAAAAAAAAAACGAAATTATGAAAACAAAAAATTTCAAATATTTATTTATTCAAGCATTTAAAAATTCCAGCTGTATTATAAATTATAAACAAGCGCTAATCTTCATGGCAGCAAAGTTAATCCTGAAGCTCGTTTAAGTTTTCCAACAAACAAAAATAGCTGTGACTGAACAAAGTCCAAGAGAGAACTTATAGAACGTTTATTCCTAGGAAAAGCGATTGCAGGATGAAAACGATGTGTATTTAAAGCATTATCGATAAACAAAATTATCGATTTGAAAGGTTCATTAATTTAATGTTACATATAGAGCGTTCATTCTAATGATAACTTATCCACATCTTGTATAAAAATTATTTAAAATAAATTTGTAGTAAATTAACGATAGATATATATTACAATAAAAATTCAATAATGTCGTTTTCTTTGTTCTTTACGGTATATCGCGATATATGGAATGTACACAGATTGCCCAAACGCAGAGACATAGGCGAAAGAGGCGGAAATACAAAGCTGCGGGGCACACAATGGCATGACTCCGAATTGCGTCCGTAAACCGCATTGCCATTGCATACCGCAAATATCGAAATTGTTTCACGCTACTGATATATGTCCCTCCGCCTCCCGTATTCTTCGCGCATCGCGCGAACTGTAATCGACTATAACTCCGGTTGGATGGCGGCGGTTATGGCCGGTTTGCCTTACACCCTATACATTTACGTGGATAGTGTATTAAAAACTGTTCCCGTACCTAAATTATTGTATTTCAATTATACCACAAAAATTGTATCATAAACTCATGGAATATTCTTGTTATTGTTGATAATTCTTTGAACGTCAAAGACTTATCGATTGCTTTTTAAAAGACTGAAGCTACTTCTACTTTGAAAGCCCGACCTTTGTCTTAGAAAAGAATACTGCGAGCGATAGTAATATGCAATTGCAGTCCGCTCGCGATGCAGCAATGTACCATGAATGCATGACGAATAACGTGAGCGCAACATCGAGCCAATCTTGATAAATCTCCTTGTGTTACATGATAGACGACAGATGCGACGTGGCCGAAGCCAATTCTCCTTCTATGCTCTGTCACGCGTGTGCCCTCGTTTTTCCGTGAGACGAGTACATTCTATATTTAGAATTGGGCTTTGACCAATTTTTAACGCGGAATCACGCTCGCGGGAGATATCGTGAACTGCAACAAAACAATCATACAATTGCTATGGTAGAGCATGACCGTAAAAAATAAAAACGAGTCATTCGTGTTTGCGACAGGAATTGTGAATTGACCTATCGAGTTATTTAAAAAATTCTCTCCGCGCG